ATAAGGCACCAAGAGCACATGGAGTTTACCATCACCATGGAACCTTTAATAGCTTTGCCTTGGACCTACGCTCAAAAGGACCACATTAATGGAGCCAATTTTTGACAATGACCCTCAAAATCACGTCATCATATATCAGCCTTCTTTCATTGTAAAAACATAAAATTGTTGAGATGTTATAATTTTCAATTTATTATTGACTTACGTAACAGAGATGAAAAAAAATTAGTTTACAGATGAGTGCAAATCAATTTGAAAATAAATAATTGTTCATAAAAACAAAAACAAAAATAAAATTCATGTAAAACATGTTTTGTGTGTGTATTCCTTTTTTTTCTCCAAAAAAATGCTTTAAAAACTTTTTGTTCTTTATACTCTATAGTTTAAGTCATACATATATGATAAAATTTTGTAGGATGCAGCTTAAAAAAAAAATTTATTGGCAAAAAAAAAAAGAGAAAAAAATAAAACATTTTATGTGGTTGTTTGTTATGGAGACTCCTTTGCCATATAGACTATATTAGACTGCAAATATAAATCATTGGAGATAATTTTCAATATCAAAGTTTTACTTATTTAGAGTGATTTAAATTGTGCAACAATACTTTGCTGTTAAGATGCAAGTGACAAGCTTCGGTCTGCAGAGTTGAATAGGAAGTTTATGCACAAAGTCCTCTATCCAATTAATGAGTTACTTGTCTCCTTTTGATGCATTTTTCTTTTCCTTTTTCTTTTTCTTTCATTCTTCTTGTATTTATGTTCTCTTTTGGCTACGCTTGAAACAACCCCAATCAAGGCCCCATGCTGGGTGTTTCTTAATTAATGGCGTTGGAAATTTGTAAAAGACTCGTGAATAACGCTGTCTATGTCTCAATAGTGTGTTCCACGTAAGATTTTATTTCACCCTAACATATGCCTTTGTTTTTTTGTCCAGTATAATGATGATGAACTATAGTACAACAAGGATTAGTGGCGGAACGAGAAACAGATTTTGGGTGGGGCATTTTCTTTTCAATTATCCTAACTATCTAAACCATTTTTTGTATGAACGACAAGATTTAGAGTGCAACATTTGATTTTTTTTTCTCATACAACCTTGTTCTATGTCTTTTTATTTTTAATTTTTTGATACTTGAGCTAGGAACCATGCCCAACCCTCTTTACATTAACTCCACCACTAACAAGGATAATCCCTTGCTTATATTAATTTTTCCTTATCTGTCTCAATATTTGAATTTAAGATTTTAATTTAAAATTTTATTTTTAATCACTTAAGACATCTTGTTGAAACCACGTAACAATGTTATATATTCTTTAATTGTATAACAAGCATGCTATTAATTAATTTGTATAACTAGCATGCTATTAATTAATTAAAAACATGTTTAGTTTGATGAGTGAAGACGAAATAAGAGGGATGAAGAGATTAATATAAATATGGTAAAGGAAAAGAAATAAAATAATTTGATTGAATTATAATTATCCTTAAGATTTTATGGTATTTTTTGAATTTTTGATATTAAAGAGCAACATTGGCAAGAAGAAGATAAATTATATATTGCATTTATATTGCTCAGATTTATGAGGATACCTCATCCCTCGGTTTCTCTTCTCTCCATTGTTCTCAAACCAAATATACCTTAAAGTAAATTGGAAAAGGATTTGCTTTGTAATTAATTCCCTTACATGACAAAATTTTATTAATCCATAGAACCATGTCAAATATACAAAAGTTATTGCTCCAAAGAATGACTTGACTAATTAAAAACTTGAAATATTAGTCAAGAGATCTCAAAGTTCAAACTTTGATGTATTGGATTAGGAGGGGATTTAATAAAAGAAAGTGATTATTTCTTCTTATATAATTTATTATTTAATATAAAAAAACCATTATGTTATAAAATTTTTAATAAGTCCCTTCATTGTAGGATTTTTATAATTTAAAGTTTTTCTAATATGTACCTTACAATATAAGTTAAAAGTGTAATTATTATATTTTTTTACATTAATTAGTATTGAAAAAATAAAAATTAACATTTATTTTAGTGATTGTTCAATTAAAATAATAGATTTTTTTAACCTTTCCCCTTAAGATACAGGTTAAGAATATTTTTTTATAATAAATATGTATAAAAAATATATAAATTAATATTAATTTTAATATGAAATGAGTTTAATTAGAGATTAGACAAACCCTAAAACAATTTACATCTTATAATGAAATTAATAATAACTTTTACATTTTCAATACTACTTAACATAAAAGGGGCGCAATAATTGCACAGATTAGAAGAACCAGATTAAGTTATTGGGTTCTTGGTGTACTAATTATAGACAGCAAATAAATAAAGCTGAAAACCATGTGTGAAAGGGTTGGGAAAAAGAACAACAAGGGAATGCAAACATCATTCCCATTCCCTAACAAATATGTTGCATTATTGCACCTGATTTTTTGGGCCAATTGCACCTTGTCAGCTTGAAGTGCATTTCCTCTCCATGGACGGGTTTCAAGCTCATCTCTTAAAAACTTGTCCAAAAAAAAGTAAAATATATATATATATATATATGTTGCATTGTTGTGCAAGATAAATAGTTCATTTTGATCTGAAATGACGAAAGAAGACATTGACATGAACTAGACAGGGGCCATCGTTGATCTATCTCAAGTTCAAGTCAATCTAGGACAATTGTGGAAAATGAATATTTTGTCCAAAAGTAGACCATTCCTCTGCATCATGAGCATGCATGCAAACGCACAAACTCTGGCAAACAGCATTTAATGCAAATGGGGCAAACAAAATATGGTTGAGGGAGACGAGCTGAAATCATGCATGCCTCACGCTGATGTCTATTTATAAATTTGGAACTATATCTTCAACAAGGATTATTTTGATATAAAATATTAGTCCAATGAGGTCACTTGTGCCTCATGCTGACATATAAAACTCAGGTTTAATTTAACTGCGTGTAGATTTCTTGAGTTAGCTGTATTTTAGTGCACAACCGTGTGTAATTTAAGTACTAAAATTATTAAAATATTATAATTAAATTAATAAAAAGTATGATTTTATTAAAAGTATATTTATAATTTAAATATTTAAACAGTACTTTTTAATGTAGTCTAAATTAAAATAAACATTTTTATTCCCTTTTATTTTAAGCTAAAAAGTGGAGACTGAAGATTACAATCTAAATTCATACATTGAAGAAAAGGCGTAGATAAATGTATGAATTTTATTATTTTTTATTTAAAAGTATTAATTTTTTATTTTTTAAATCAAATAATAAACTTGCATTTTTTTTAAATAAGAATACAAATTTTATTTTCTATATAAGGATTTATTAGATAGTGATTATGATGTGAAAAATAGTAATCTTAATCAAAATATAATAAAATTTATATCTATAAATAAAAAAAGTAGTAAAATTCATATCATTAAATTGAAAAAATGACAAAATCTATATCCTTAAATAAAACAAAAAAAAAAAAAGTGAAAGTTTGTGATCTGACTTAGAAACATGAAGAGTTTATATTCTTAAATAAAGAAAAAAGAAAAAAGCTTTGTATACTTATCTAAACTTTTTTTTTTTCCTATACACTGAGATAAAAAAATAAAAAATCAAACCAGATCTATCTCCTATATATTGTATACCAGACCAACGTGGAATAACTATTAAATTTTCACATCCCATAAAAAAAATAAAAAATCTCTCACATTTTCCAAACTTCCCTTAAGATGTGTTTGAAATTGCTATGAAGTGGTGTGATTGTAACTGTGATTGTAACTGTGCTGTACTGTAATTATGATTAAAAATTATTTTGGTAATTAGTTATTTATTTTTTAAAAGTATTATAAATGAAATATGATCAATTTTATTAATTATTAATTAAAATTTTAAAAACATTGTAAGCTATATAATTATTAAAATATATAATATTTATTATTTTTTAATAATTTAAGTTTTTTATTTTATTATTATTATTAAAATATTATAAATTATGATATAATTAAATTATATGAAATTGAGTTTTAATAGGTAATTTTACAATTATATTAAATATTAAGTGTTTTTTATAAAAGTCACAATCATAAAGTTTAAAAACGAGGCTTTGACTTCATATATAAAATTATTATAAATCTTTTTGTAATTTAAAAAAAAAAACAGTTTAACAAAAATTATTAAATACACATATATCTAAAAACATTATACAACTACACAAAAATGCCTCCAATTGCAATCCCAAATGCACCATTAATTTGTAAAAGTTGAAACCTCTTACCTTGGAGTTGTTATTATTCATTAAAAATCAAAAGAAATTTGTTGTTCCTTCCAAAATAAAAAGAAAAACGAAAAACGAAATTTTGTTGTTAAAAATTAAAAAGGAAAATGAAAACCTTTGTGGTGTTGGATGTGGCCCATCATTGTTTATGGAAGATCCAACGTTAAGCAAAAAACAACACCCAGGCCCATCTTTTTAATCAAAATAAAAA